TTTTTTTCATTCATTGATTCCTTTATAATTTTCTTTTTAATTTTTTTAATAAAATAATAATAAAATTTCATCTCTCTTTACTTCGAATTTTGCATCCATTGTTAATTAACATGTCCAGTGTTAATTCATTCTGATAATATTCAAATTAAAAATTTAAACTCAAGAATCTTTCTTCTTTTCCTTTCCATTCGATCTTTTCCATATTTTTTTTCATTCATTGATTCCTTTATAATTTTCTTTTTAATTTTTTTAATAAAATAATAATAAAATTTCATCTCTCTTTACTTCGAATTTTGCATCCATTGTTAATTAACACGTTCATTCTGATAATATTCAAATTAAAAATTTAAACTCAAGAATATTTCTTCTTTTCCTTTCCATTCGACCGATCTTTTCCGTGAAAGTTTTTTTTTTCATCCCTTTATCGATCTTTATCTTTAGATTAAGCTGTGGACGAAGCCTAAAATCGAGGGCCCGCAGAAAGGGACCGCGAACAGTTCTCTCGAATAATGGGCATAGGACGAACCCGAGAAGAATCGTGGACTAAAGCCGCACCTTGTGCTGGCCACGTAAGTATGCGACGTGCACACGTTATAATGCTACGTCCGCCAATGTACCATGGAACTAAGGTTATTGCGACCACCGATGGAGCACCGCTTTCACCTACGATCCTCAACCCTCGTCGCGTTCACCTGGCCGATTTCAATCTCGCCAGTTCGTTTCCTCGAGTTTCGATGAATTTTTTCGAGTTTTTCAATGAGTTCAATCAGGGAGGAAGAATATTGTTTCGTTCAGGAAAATTATTATTTCGATTATTTTGTCCGATTAATTATTATTGTTATCGTATAAAAATCTGAAGAAATGAATTCTTAAATAGTCATTCTTAAAATATGAGGACTATCGTTAAGAATTTTGAGTTTTGGGTGCTCTTATTTTTCTTTTTTCCAACGGAATGGAATGTGTCAAAGAATATTCAATTACATAATATTTGTTTCGTTAATTTGATAAGAAATTTAATATAAAATCGGGTGACTCGTAAATTTTAACGATTGTTCATGAATATTGACTGTATCTATTATACTAAATTTAATATCTAAATATTAATGAAATCATTCAATTTTTAATGAACGTAAAAAGAAAAAGAATATTTAATTTTTCTTCTATAATATCAAAAAGTTAAATATATAGGAGTAGAAAGATGTAGGTGCACATTCTATAAAATTTTACGATTTTAAGATTTGAGTATGCGCAAATTTCTCTGAAAGGAGATAAGAAATCTAGGCGTGCTTTTTGTTTGAAGACTTTTGTTAGACACCATTAAGATATCGTCAAAAACAGCTTATAAATTTTTAGATTTAGATTTTTATTATTATTTCCTTTATTAATACTATTTTATAATAATCTATTAATCAATTTATTAATTTTGATTACTTACGTATATATATAATAATAAATACGAAAAAAAAGAAAGAGAAAAATTAGAATACGTCCTAACGTACAAATTAAACTCCTTGTATCACGTAATAAATAATTTTATCAAACGATTGCGCGATTGTTTTAAAGGCAAAGGTCTCGTGGTTACGAGAAAAATCGATGGCTCGACGATTCTGTTTGCATTTTCTATTTGCATTTTCCGTTATGTCAACGCAATTTTTTTTTTTTTTTTTTTTTTTTTTACTTCGCAAGGCGAATCTACTTTCCGCGAGGAGACGCGTTTAACGATTCATCAATCGGACAGAGAGGGTTACGAGATTCTTCTTCACGCTATGATAACTTATTGAATGCTAAAACCTTCTCGTTAAATATACGCACTTTTGTCCTCTTCATGCCACTCAACGCTGAAATTAACGAATTAAGTAAGTTTGCAGCGCTTCAGCAAATTTGTCGATCAAAACTCATTGACCTCGACGGTCAACAACAAACAACAATAACAATAACAATAACAACAACAACAACAACAACAATAATAATATCTTCTCTCGAAGGATGCAAATTTCCTTCCATTAGACATCGTGAAATCATCATTCTCCATGCCTGCAGAGTATACAGAGTTGTGAAAAAATTAAGAACAAAGATACACATTCATCGAGGCGATTGGTTGATCGCCCCTCCGATCCCCCAACCCCCTTCGTTCGAGACCTCGGAGTTTACGGCGTTTCGGGGCACAAGCCGTTCAATTTCCGCGGCGGACCATAAAACCCCGCGCCGCGAGACGTGGCGGACGGTAGTGTATATTGGCGTGCATTTAGCTCGTCGCGCGCGCCGCTGACAGAAGAGGGATTTGCCTTCGCCGCTTTACTGGATTTACCGAGACACCTCGTGAAACACGCCCATGTTTGACTTTAGCTTTTGAAGCGGCGCCGAAATTTTCACAGAAACCCACCGCCTTCGCGCTAGACAAGGAGAGAGGGAGAGACGGAGAGAGAGAGAGAGAGAGAGAGAGAGAGAGAGAGAGAGAGAGAGAGAGAGAGAGAG